GGGGGGATACAACGGGAATCCGAGCTCGAGAGCCAAATGCTCAGAAGAACCTGCTACCTGCTTACTGCTTCAAGATCAATGGATAATATCTGCAAGACCTAAGCCTAAGACTCAACTCGTAAGCAAACTTTAACTGGCTACGTCATGCACAAACTAAAACCAATCTGCATATGCTCCAAAAACAAACTGAGCACTATCTCAAACACCGACGACGCCCGCTTCATCAAGGAAAACACAACTGCCTCTTCCAGCCGGTTGGACTGCCTGCGCCGGTTTGACCGGTTCGACCGTCAGATCAGGGGAAAACACAGGCCGGTTCTTTTTTGCGGTTTAATAATTTCAATACATGTATATATATATATAGTATATATAATGTATATATATATATATATTTATTATATCCAGGACTTGTTCGCACGACCACAATCGTGCGCACTGCGCACTCTTAAGCTGAAGCTGCGCATCCCATGGACATTTGTCCTACGTGGGGCTGCTGGGCTGCCAGCGGAAAGAGAAGCTGTTGGGACACTGGCACTTCTTTTGGGACAGGTGTCGATGCACCTGCGAACACCGATACAAACTTTGGTCGAAACACCGGACGGACCGGACGGTGGGTCATGGCACCACCCATTCACTGACCGAAAAAAATGAACAGAATCGACAAGTAAGACATCGACTGACCGGGTGAGTAGCCTGCGCAGTACCATCACCGACCCACCTGACTCATGAAAAGCCTCGCTGGAGTAGTCTAGGCTAGCTGGGCTCCGCGCTCTCTCTCTCTCTCTCCATTTCGAGATCGCTCGTTTTCCCTCCTCAGGTTCCTGGCGTGCTTAACTTAAGGCCCTTAGGGTTGGTTGTGCCAAACATCCTCCCAGAAGGATTATCCACATGGTTCATATACCAAATCATCTGTGTAGGGTTTTGGATGTTTTCAGATTCACCCAATTCCCAAACTCGAACATCCAGCTACTCAAAAAGCCAAGCCATCTGCTCACGCTGGCCAACCCCGCTCTTGGCCCAGGCTACCTGGGCTCCCGGGCGGAGAGTGCAACTTCCCCGGCACCGTCTGCCATTGAAAGGTCCTTGGCACCTGGCGTAGGTGGCTTCACCGACGAACGGCTCCTGGCACCTGGCTAGGTGCTTTGGACGGACCCATGGCTCTTCGTCAAATGGACCAATGGACCCAGCCATTGGTGCAAATCACGAAACTTAGTGTAGTGTCAAAGCCATCTCACAAAGGGGCAGAGATGACTCTTTGGGTGTCAAGCCTATGAGTACAAGGGTACCCCAACTAGAACGGGTCGATCATTTCTGGAGGGGTCAAACTCTGGCAGTTAAAGCTGCCAAAATGTTTCGATTTGGGATGCTGAAAAAACCTGTGCTTGCGAATGTGCTTGGGGCATGTGCCCCCTTTCTAGCTTATCCATTACAATGGGACAACTTGCGGAATTACATTCCCTGTACAAGAGACAATGATGAGATAGTTGATGCAACTTCGTGGGAATTTCCAAGTAGCCACTATCTACTCATGCCTGGGAAATGGAGGATTCCACTCGGCTAATTCAAACCTAGTCTGAACCACCAAATGTTATCTTTAAAAAGGAAAGACCATATGTTAGAAGTCCACGTCACTTTAATCATTGATCTGTGCTTCCTCCACTGGGAATGCTTCGCTGCACAAGGTCATCTGGCAACGAGTCCACCTCCCTGGTCTTCACCAAAATCCCTTCCACACTTGTGAGGGAAGCCCCACCAGGTGTGCCAGACACTTCACCAGGTGTGTCGGACCAAATGGAAGGCGCGCGAGCCTCCGCTCGCCTCAATGAATCACTGGGACCAACGAGACATTGGATGGATCTATCGACCAAGCCTCAACATCTTCCGAGTGGCTGGGCCCATGGGCCCCAGCTGATGATAGCCTAAACAGGCCTAAACATGGCTTGTGTGCCATTCCCTGTCGTGAGTGGGTATCCTTGCCACTTCATTTCGCTCGTTTTGAAGACTTGACAACTGCATGATACTGCATGCACCACTGGTTTGCTTTTGCACTTGCCCGTATTGATTGAACACCGCCGAAGAGATGCTCCTATCCTTTCAAATTCTCACCAATGCCTGCCGCCGCAAAGCCTGCCGCCGCAAACAAAATCTCCGCTCACCTGCGCCAACTTCACGTAGACATAGGTCCCTTCAGCATCCTGCGAGGGTGGGCCAGGCCCTTTTTGGCCGTGCCCTTTTGGCTTGTTAGGCTGATAAGTTGGTTGACAAGAGAGTACGTATGGAAAACACTAGGACAAATGATTGACCATGTGGGTTTTGTGCTTTATGGGACCCCAAGCCTTACTTGCCCACAATATGTTTTATTCCGCCGCGCGGCCGACTGAGTTAGAGCGGCCTCCAAGTCATCCGTGGTCATCCGGTAGCCATGGCCGAACTCATCGACCAGATTTCCTGATCCCGAAGAATCGGTGATCCAACAAACCTATTTGTCGTTGGTATCTGTTCTGCTATCAACATAAGCACAAAAAGCGTACCCAGGGTATTGTTGCTCAAGATGTGGACAACAAATGCACCTTGAAAAAAGGTTTGTTGGGGGATGGGGGCAACCTGTAGGAAGTGAAATAAGGACTGTTTGGTGAAAGTACAAGTATGTGCACACTGTACACCGTTGACACCTCTATCCACACCTTTGAAACCGACTGAGAATTCTGTGGCCAAAATGCTTCGACCCTCAACTGTAATGGTTATTCCGTTGTAGCTCAGATGTGAAGCAAGTGTTCATCGGCCTGATCCTATCCCTTTTCAGCCCTGAAGGAGGTGTGAACGTCATGAACTTTTGCATCCGGTTCTTTGAGACTCGAAGATCCATATTTCCAGGTACCCGCAGCACCCCTTTAGGGCCTGGGATGGTTCTTGGAAAATACATGGTCGGAGGGTCTTTGAACCACCCAGTTCGGGTGGTGCTGGCATGTAGATGTGTGTCATATGAGTCATATGTATGTGATACTGTATTTTCATATTACATATCTGTATATATAGTATAGCAAATATAATATTATATATCTGTATAGTATTCAAAATAATAAATATACACATATATTACAGCAATCCCGCTGACCCGCAACGTGTCTTGCCGAGATTGTCATGTTAAAAGTTGTTTAATTGTAACCACCAGCCAATATCTCAATGTGACGAATTCGGACCACATCCATCGCTCCGATTGTTGGCGGCCTTAAGACTCGTCTAGCATCTTCTGGCCACCCACCTGGTTGCTATTGGTTCAGGAGAATGTGCCCCTTTGTTGCAAAGCCTCCCACCAGCATTCAGCAGTACAGGCTCAGCATGAATACAACGTGGCGGGGATCCACTTCCACTCCAGGACTTTGATAAGATCTAGGTCCTGCAGACCGCCCTGCAGATCCCTGTCGGCTGCACCCGTCTGCCAAGAACCCGATCGTGATCGTCGGCGGGTTCACCCGTCGACGCCAAGCGACGCTTTCGGCAAAAGCCGTTGGGAAGTCGATCGATGAACCTCGGCGTTATGAGATGCTTGAAGAGACTAAAACAAAAAACGATGCTAGTCTTTCGTATGATTCACATGGAAACTTGCCAAGCCATGCAGTCTACTACCCAGAAGGAAATGGAGAACAATTAAACAAACGCTTCCTTCGGCCGCAGCCGTTGGCCTTTCAGAAGGTGATACCAGCAGCAAGTGCTAATGTGACTCATGTAGTGTGCTTGTACCTTCGAGAAGACCTCAAGGAATGGATTCTGTCTTTCAGGGGAAGAATCATCCAATTTTGAAGCAAACCACAAACCCATGTCAAGGACCAGTATAAAGGATTGTGTTTGGCAAACTCATGCAATCCTCCAGGTCTGAAGCTGCAAGATATATATATATATATGTATGAAGTCGAGGAGCATCGATTCGCTACAATAGACCCAGTCTCAAGCACTTGAAATCACAATCCCTGAACGCACTCAACAAAAGGCTGGAACAACAACACATCCTCTGACATGGGGATGATCAAGACATGTTAATGTATTGGGAAGGATTGATCACACTGCCCACGAGCAACCAACCCCTGCGACCAAGTCAATTCCAGCAACATGTGCATCAGTTTGTTGAGTTGCTTCGCTACACCTCTTCCTTTGCTTGCAGTCATGCAAGCGTAAACTCTGGCCAGTCACTGACCAGTCACTGCTAGTTTGTGCTCTGTGCAACGAAAAGCTAGGTTTTTCTCGGGTCACCAATCGAAATTCATTTGATACGCCCAGATCACGTTTTCGCGGATCGAAAAGCCTTGGTCTCTTCTCACGAGTTCCGCCTTCGATTCTCAGAGTCCCGGCTCCACCACATCGCACCTCTGAAAAGCAGGGTGTGAAAAGCAGTGATGTTTTGCAGAGAAAGAAACACATAGCACCTCTTTGAGTGAACCATGAAAAACCAAGCTCCTTTCTATATTGGTTTATTTATGTTTGTTTGCTTAATGCGGACACAGAATTAATTAATGAATGAACCTCTCCTTTTTAATGAAGCCCAGCTTGAGCCCCTAATACTAAACCAATTTAATGCCCAGATTTTCACATTGACATCCGAATAATCGTTGTTCTTTCCAAAAACCTCCCCATATTAATCAAGCCCAGCTGCCCCAGAAAAAAAAAGCTAATAGTTTACTATAATAAACATTGTTATTGATTATTATTTACTCTATTCTCTCTATATACCAAAACTGCTTTTCATTTCAACACTATTAAAACTCTATCAACATCTTGAGGTTTTCAAGCTCACAAAGGGTAACCCTCACACAGGCCTCAGTGTTGACACAGAATCCTATCAACCATCATCCATCAACGGGTCATCACCTATATGGGATGTGGTCTCCAATACCTGCAATCTCAAACCCGGAAAGCTTAGCTAGTTCTCCATTTTGTTTCGTCCATGTGATTTGTTTAAAGCTTGGCCCAGACTTGAATCGAAATTGGACCCACATGTTCATTTTGACTAAATCCAGTTCTCCACTATGCCACGAATCTTCGAATTCCCATCACTTTTCTTATGGTTCTTGTTCAGTGTCAGTTAGCGGAAATTTGATGCTCTGACATGTGCTGGCTTGGGCAAAGGGCATCACCTTGCATTATCCGAACATGGTCACCAGAGATAAACAATAAACATTCAGCTATTCAAATGGATGTTAAATAAGCAAATAGACACCAGACAGCAACAATGAAACGCATAATGCCAACACCGGATTAATCAACGCCCTCCCCTTCAAGGTCAACAAGTCATGTCCCTTCTAAAATCTTCTAAATTCATGGCCCTTCCGTTGTACAAGGAGTCTGGGCTGCCCGAGTCCTCGGCTGACCAATCTTTTTTTGAAAAAGGGTGCACCGCACTGATCGAGGTGGAAGAAAAAAGGGCTTATTTCCAGAAACACTGCTGGATCTTGTTCCCCCATATGACAGTGGGTCAAAGCGAGGTGCAGGCGACTGTCAAGTTCACCATGGTTAACCATGTCTCGTAGTTTATTCTGTTCATCTTCGATGCTTGACCATCTCGACCTTACATCGCATGGCAACCGTTGGCATCACCGTCCATTGGCCGTTGGCGCATGCAACATTTTGCGCCAACTCCTTTGCCAGAAGCGTATCTATCTGCTGATAGACGGACTCTTCGGCAAAAATGGCGCAATGACCCGTCGATGCCTCGCCACACCGGCACAGTGTGCTTGGATCAGTCAATATATATATTGTAGGCACCGAGGCAAACCAACCAGTGGGATGTGGATGCATACCATGCATAGCGATCATAAGCAACTCCGCCGCTCATACGAATACGGGCCATCCATCTTGGATGGTTGCTAGTCTAAAGAAGCGGTGTCTGATGCACACTCACACGACCACACGACCATGTGTTGAACATGTGGTATGGTCTGGTACCTGAAAACATATTGATCTTGTCAAAATTAACATAAAACTAGCCTCCATTACATATTCACTTATACATATCACTGCCCCTTAGATCAACACATAATTGTGTTGTCTATGATACTATGGCCGATATGATTGTTGAGGCTTTACATGCCGTGAACCAAAGTGTGAACAGTGGTGACATCAACTGACAAAGCTGCAAATCACACAAACTCACCCAGAACAGGCCTAGAATTCCAATGCAAAACCCCAAGAATCTTGAACGTGTCCATCCTTGGCTACAAAGCCATTTTTGTGGATGCTTTCTGTTCTTGTACCTTTGGGATCACCAATCAGCAAGCATCTGCAAGCATCATGAACATGACCGTCTAGTCCAAACCACGGTCAACTACCAAAGGTTCTTCAACAAAACAAACTAAATTAAGTTGGAGGCCATCGCTATTAAGTTGGAGGGCCATTGCTTCTAGGTTGGAGGCCATTGATACCGATCACCTCCCATTCTTCCGCCTGCAAGTGCTGAACTTCCTTTGCGCGCTGCAGCGCCAGCCTTCGCTCCTTGGCGCCGTCAGGCATGGAGAGCGCCAAGTAGACCATGGGTTCCGCCCGTGGACAAAGCTGATGTGCTTCCTGGAAGACGCACGAGAAGTGCCCCGATGATGGTGATTGCCGGCTGCTAAGGGTGGGGTGGATGGGACAGATGTTTGACCGTTTAACACACATAAACACACATTCTTGGGGCCCTCCGCCATATCATGTTGGAGTCTGCCGGGGAGTGCGAGTTGTTTTTGAACACGAAGCTCTTTCGCGCCGTCGTGTGGGAACCATGTCCACCTCGGTGCCAAGTGGTTGGACGCAGTGATGTATTTGACGCCTTACATTCAAAAAACATGGTAAATACATGTATATAATACACTGGTTGTTTCGGACGCATCGTTGTAAAATCGTCATGTGTAGCACAAGCCGTTGTTATAGTGCTTTTGAAGATACCGCTCGGAAAAATACTTTTCATGTTTTTTTGCAAATGTTCTGAACTACAACAGTTTGAGAATGCTTGAGATGTCCCCAAATGTCACATCCAAGCCAACATCTTTGAAAGACTATGAAAATAACATAAATTCACCAGTCCTCGGGTACTCCGAAACAAGTCATCGGGTACTCCGAAAAATTGAAAGTCACGGCTGCCATCCACTTCTCTTGAAACAACCAAACAAATTGTCCCAACCCAAAAAAAACATCAAAGACATGAACAAGACACTTGTTGATATAGTTTCTCGCACAGGTTTTTGGAGTCGACACAGCACATGGTTTTTTGGGATGAACATGGATGAACAAAAGGTGTTTAGGGTTTAGAAAAAGTCAGTTTTTGCACGAACAGAACACCTCCAAAGGTGTTGTACATGGTTGTACAGTGTCAAAGATCCATGGTCATCATGGCCATGCTCTATGCAAAGTCAATCTAAAAGCGAGGTTCGGTACTGTCTCCATTTCTCTGCGAATAGGGACCTACCACCAATTTGCTGGGGACCTACCTAGTACAAGGATGTGCACTGCCTTGGCTCCCCCAGCAACCCTACACTGAGCGTTCCTTTCTGCTATTTACAATGTGGCAGGTCTCTGTTTATGCAACCCTAGGGGCGACGTACTAACTTTCTGCGTGAATACTTGCACGATCTTGCACGCGCTCTCCCGCCGCCCACCCCCGCGTTTCGCTCCACGCCAACAATTCCCTGTGCTGTTCCAGTGCTTTCCGTCATCAAAATCGGGATCTCTCCCCCTCACCTCCAAACCCCTTTCTCCTACAGGAAAAGCAGTTCTTTTCATCGCTTTCCGTCATCACCATACCTAGAACCCTTTGTTGGGCAGAAGTTTCTGCATATTATGGGTAAAGGCGCCTTTGTCCATGCTTAGGCGTTCTTGCTCCATGTAGGCGTTCTTGTGCCCTCTACGCGTTCTTTTCTTTTTGGTGGCAATGCTCAAACAGATCCACGCACCACTGGTTCCAGGAACTTCCATCGTGATGAAGTAGGTTTGGTCATCTGGAATTCACTTGATATTTCACTTTTGCATGGGTTTTGTCATGTCTTGCTTCAATATCTTTTTGAGTAGGTGGCGGAAATGAAGTTGGGAGAAATTGCTGCCTAATGAGGACCAATGAGTACACACTTCTTCGGACATGCACCTGTGCTAAACTTGCATTTGTGTTATATAACCACTTAGCATAACTCTGATGGTTTTGCAAAATAGTAAAAACGCAAAAGCAAACGTAAAAACAGCAAGTACAAAAAGCAAAATAAAAAAACAAACAAAAAGCAAAAACACTGCAAATGAGACAGCAAAAACAAAAAAAAAAAAGAAAAAAGCAACAAGCAAAAAAAGGAAAAACACAAAAAACACAACAAAACTGAACAAGACACATCAATAAAACCAAGCTAAAAAAGCGGTGAAAAACGGGCAAGCAAAAACAAAACAAACAAATAACACAAACAAAAAAGAAGCGAAGAAGCGAACCATTAAAAACACAAACTATTGCTTTTGCATTTTCATTTGCATGTGTTTGCTTTTTGGATGTGCTTTTGTTCGCTTTTTGCGTTTGCATTTTGTTGCTTTTTGGATTTGTTTTTTGTTGTTTTTGCTTTTTCAGTTGTGTTTTTTACTATTTCCAGGATTCTCAGAGTTAGCCTGGGTCCAGCGAACACAAACTTACATGCTTACAGACTAATATAGGTAAGCCCTGTACCTCTAGCTCCCATCCAAAAAGTATCCGCCATTCCATGCCATTCCCCAAAGAGCTCCTCGAAATGCTGCAGGCAGCTCCGGCTGGTCGCAGTGGTGTGACGCCACAAGCTGGGCTGTTGGGCGCAGATCTGCCCCAGACCCATGTGCGCGCCATAGCGAAGGTATGAGAACTGCCGGAGGCCAGAGATCTCTGAAGTCAGGTATCCTGGGCGATGCGAACGTCGGTCATGGGAGGTCAAAGAAGGTCTTCTTGTCGCCCAGAGTCTCCAGCCGGGTATCTAGCCTTGAGGAATCACACTTCATTCCTACATAAAATCAAAATTACTATTATTGTAAATTATTAAATAGTCATAGTCATATGATATATACTGGAATATTATTAGATTCATGTGTATTCTCAGTCCTACGATGTCCTATGTAAAGCATCCCCTGATCTTTGGAATGCATGGTGATCATCTTCTACATCCCTCAAGCAAACCCTTTGGAGGTCTATGCTTTGCTTTCAATTACTAATTGAAACTTATGAAACCACTTGCAACGAGTGATTGCGAGTTGCAGTGGTAGCTTGACCCCTTGAGAATCCTTTAATCGTTGCTCCGGAAAGGTTTCATGATCCAGCCGGTCCAGCCGATGGGTCTTCCGCTCCAACCAAGCGTCGCTCCCAAAGCTCTTTGGCGACTTCGAAGTTCTGCAGGGAACGATGTGACTGTGCCAAGTAAAAGATCGCACGTGTGTATTGCCAAGCCTCGGTCCGCAGCTAGTTGCGACGTGCTGTCGCTCCTGTGTCGACCCATACAAATGAAGAACCAGCAGTCCCTGGAGTGGAGAAAGACCGAAGAGCTTCCAATTTGAATTATTTACAGTTTCAGAGTAGATGGCACAGACCCCAAGATGTCCTTTAGATCGGGATCCATACAAACCACCTTTTGGGGATTGTGCCATCTATTCTCAATCCACAGTAAATTAAATAGGTTTTAATCATCTTCGGCAGATCAAAGCAAGTGTGTCGTGGGAAGGAAGCGGAATCCTTCACGTCAGGTTCTCCCAATCCTGAATCCTTCCTTTTTTCGCAGTCCTCTGTCTGTTCTTTGTCATTAATGTGGCCTTGCAAGGTTTGCGGATTCTCTCTCACTGGGATGCGAGCCATGCCTCAACCACCATGGCCAGCAAATACTGTGTATATATATATGTATATACATGCTCACCCCCATGGTAGATCATAGGGGGGTGTCCATATATATATATATGTACATTATGTTATATACCGGCCCTTGATAAATGGCTTTGCTGTTTCCAGAAGCTGCCCCTTCGTGCATCGGTTTCCAGGGTTCCACAGGCAGTTTGTGAGCCAAGGGTGGACATTGTCTGTATTGTCAAGGAACATAATTAGTCTTCCAAGGGCATGCTTTCCACTTCCATGTCAAACTATGCTGTTAGTCGGAGGGCAAGCTGTTTTGGTCCAAAGGTACATCCAAGTGGGCGTCATCCTTATTCAAATAGTCCTCAAGCAACTGCACATCTTGCCGCAACCTGCCGCCACAATTTAAACTCCATGTGGAACAGTGTGGAACAAACGAATCACAAAGGAATGCGCGATGACATGATGACATGTGTAATCTTCGATCGCTTGGTGCCCAAACTTAATCTTCCTTTTGGTGCCACGCCAAGGCATTTGAGACTCTTGTCAACTCCCATGTGCACGAACTCTGCATGCCTTCTTGTTGATTTCTCCTCAGTTCGTTCGGCATTGTGGGAGATGTAGAAGCTTCCTGGCAGGCATGCTGTCGCGTAGCGGAGGCATGCAAGGAAGTCTCAACTGTTGCCAACTGCAAATCCGCCAGTGTACCAAGAAACGGCTGTGCCACCCGACCTGCGACAGGTTCTGGCAGCCCTTCCAGCTGGGATGCATCCGTATCGCCGATGTAGTTGATGAACAAATCATTGCTCAAAGTCCTCACCGGGTGGATGTAAGCTTCCTGAGCCGATGTCCAAACACACCTTCCGCCTGTCCACGGTCCGACACTCGACATCGGTCCGCCGGGGAAAGGAACTTCGTCCTTTTGAGCGCTCTGGGACAATACGAGAGACCAATCTTACAGAATGAAACGTAGGTCTATGGGATCGGATCGAGAGACCTGGAGAGCCTGATGAATCATTCCAAGTCGGCGACACGCAGTGCGACACGCCCTTTTCCACACAACATGATCAACATGTCGAATCATACGAACGAGACTGAAGTGTTGTGAAAAATGTTGCTCATATTGGCAAGTGATGGCAATAGCCTGCATGAGCATTGCCTGATTGATAGAACCTCAAAATTGTTTCAGCTGTTAACAAATCACGTACACTGCTTGGATTTATCCTTTTGTAGATCCCCTCAGAAGCACCAACATGTTGAACAAGGACAAGCAAGCACAAGGAAAGGACTTGATTTACTGTAGCAACTTTGCAATGTGCCTTGTAGAAACATCTTCGACACCTTCATCGTGTACAAAAAATCCCTTTATAATACAGCCTTTTCCTAGCAACAAAAAGATCTCCAAAACGGGTCTCGACTCGACCTCGGCCTCCTGTTCAGACCCTCTACGCAACTGACTGACTTCCGCGGCTCGGCAGGCCAAGTCACGTGGGTCACACCCACGTAGCGCCAAGAGCTGCTGTTCTGAGGCCAGCCAGGTTCTTGGTGATTCTTGGAACGCATCAAACGCTCCGACCAATACCAAGTCTTTGAGCCCATGAAGACGCGCACATTGAAGACCTCCTGGCGTTTGGATGCTCGGTGTTTGAACGGATGGCTTTTTGTTTTTGGGGTACCAAACATGTGGGACCTAATTATAACAACGATACAGGTTGGCTGTCATGTGTTCATATCGGTTAAATAGCATTCATGGATCGGCTAGGAAGCTTGCATATATATATATATAATATTCAAGTTTGGGTATTGGCAAGGAAGAGTCATGGCTCCTGGAAAAGGCCCTAGTATGTTACATTCATATGTTCCATCATCTGAACATTTCTGGCAACAGCCACAACAGATCTGCTTTTGCACCGGAGTATGCAGGATTTCTTTCTGTAATCATCCTTCCCTGCTTAGGGACCGGCCATCGTCGCATGGATGCTCACGGCAGTTTGCTAACAGAAGAATCCCTTTCCAGATTTCAAGAAAACGATCTGGTTCCTGCGGCTATTTCATGGAAGCTAGCTCTGCTTCTCAAACAAATCAGCATCCTGGCTGGTACGCTCGTTTCTTGCGGGCGCGTAAAACGAGCGTTGGCTGTTCCTTGGAACCCTCCGCTGGGTTTGCTGAAACCGCGGAAAAGCTGGCCGTGTCATGTGGAAGAACAAGTTTGGCTCAGCATCAAGCCACCAATTTGGCTCAGCAACTTCAACATCCTGCCAATCCTGATCTTGTCGTCCATACCTCTAACAAGTCACTTATTTAAGCTCCGCAGCCATGAACGGTGACATATCTTGATTACTCTACACCTGTCACTCTTGACGTTGGCCAATGGTTCTCTCACATGGGCATGGCTCTATCCCGCGTATCCCGCATAGAGCTTTGGCCGCAAGTCCACCTTGCGCGTTGAGGAGCTGATGGACTTCAGGCCCGCAACTGCGGCCTATTTAGGCAAAGACTATGTAAGACCAGGGAGAAACTGCTTCAGAGAGCTATGTGGAGATGGGTCTATCCATACCTGCACACCCCTGGTCCACCATGTAGCGTGCACGACCGGTATGGTAGGGTGCCGGGGTGAACCCCGCTGGGTCTCCAGGTGCCGTGTTGTGATCCACCACATGCGCTTGATGGCGGCGATTGTGTAAGACTCCCTTTAAGCTACAGAAGGACAGGTTTCGACAGGTTTTAAATGGCTTTTAAACATGTGTTCACGGTATTCAAGGTGTATGTCTCCAACTCTTCTCTGAACACCCTGAGGGGAGCGACATTGGAACTGCAACTGCAACAGCGGCTAGAGTTATGCTTGAATGGATTGCCCAGAAAGTCATGGGAATGCAAAGCGTGATAAGCCCATCATCACATGCATCAAAACCCTGGCAAGTACTAGTGACTGTTCCCAGTGTTCTGTGATGAATTTCTGCACCACTTGACCACAAAGGGGAATACCCGCTATACACTGACTGATGTGAGGATTCAGAATCGAAAAAGCTCTAGCGCGGGCGGATGTTGTCCAACAGCAGTTTGACTCGCCTGCGATCTTCCCTGAGCATCTTGATATGGCAAAACCTCGAAGGGTTTGATGCCACACGCGGCAAACTCCCGTCGCATTCGTTGTGAATGGCTCTCCCACTGCCTCGGGCGGAAGCTGAAATAGGCAGAAACACAACGACTGTCATCACCAAGACTCACTGACCATGTGTGTGTGATAAAACACTAAAGCGTTTGGTCACCCATGTGTCTTCTTTTCACCAAAGAATTGGTTGTTGGATCACGCACATCTCCCAAACACGGCAAATGGGACTGGAACCACCCCCATAAAACAAACAAAAAACACCAGTCGCGTGGAGTGTCTGGCTCTTACACAGGCGAGCACATGTGGACCCTCTGCCGGGTCGCTGTTCGGAGACTTTGGATTCCACCTGGGTCGAGAAACCGATTCACGGCGGAGGGTGCTTCGCACACGTGGTCTTCACGCATCATCTACTCAAGCACCATTGGGTGAGGCTTACCAACCCGTAGGACATGTGAATGTACATGTTTCCCTCCCTTCCACCAAAGGGTTGAAGACATTGATTCCTACATTTGTTGCCTATTTGCTCAATAGATCACAAAACCATACGAGTAAATTGATCCAATTTGTCAGGGGATGTCAGGGGATGTCTATCTGTCTATCTCCCTCGACCACGGACTTGCCTGATTGAAACACCCAGCATACCAAGTAAAAAGACATTTAGCTGAAGTGAAATACGATGAAATAATGAAATACGTCTTTGTTTTTGAACTGTCCATGTTGTCAACCTCGGGATTTAAGCTCTACGAGCAACCTTCAAAGGATGCCAAATGTGTGCATGCGGGCGTCAGCGTGTCTCGCGCGCGCTTTTGCGTGTTATTGCTTCCAAGACACGGACTGCCACCTAATACCATCGGTATCATGTCCCAGTTGCTCCACTTCCTCTGGAATCCTCATGGGCATTCGAGCCTCTGGTGATTGAGGCAACCAAAAGGAGATGCTCATCCAGTCTTCCACCACCTCCTGGCCAGGCCGTGCTGCAAATCGAGCTCGCCAGGCCGTGCTGTTCTTTTGTCTTATCAAGCTACAAAAGGCTTAGCATCGTGTTGTCTTGTGACATGAAACTGAAAAAAACACACACACACCGCCCTGGAAGCCTGCTTGTACTCTCTCAGAGACACCACTTGCGTCTCATAGGGCCCAGCCACGCTGTTCCAATACATGAACTGTGGCGCCCCAGGGCGCAGCACATTGTCACCCACCACAATGGCGGTCTCTGAGAGCATATTGAAGTCTACAATGCGCTGCAGGTCCTGCGAGGTCGTCAAGTTTTTTGAGAGGCGAGGTCAGCAAAAATAGATTCAGTCTGAGTTCAACGGAGAGTCTGGGTATGTTGAGTTCTCTCAAAATACATCGATGGCCAACGAACAAGCAACGGGAGCGGCTCAACAAATGAGCGAAGGGACACGCAGGCTTTGGTCTACTTGTTGTCCCGTTACCAATAGTGTTGGGGGAGTACCCTATTTCTCCAGCTGGGTCATAATCCATCTGTCGGGGGAAAAAGAACCGCAAGCTTCCCATGCCACCAAAGCACCAAGTGCATCTTCGTCCCCTGTTGATCGAAAAATAGGATGTCGATGGACTTCTCTGGCAAACGTTCCTTCAATCGTGGGATCAGATTCTCACTGTGCCCACACCAAATCTCAATGTAGTCCTCATGGTCGGCGGGGGTCGCAAACCGTGTGGGGAAAAAGCAACACATTCTTTCCCGGGAAGTGGATGGTTTTGTAACAGTCCCGTGACGCCACTCATCCCCTTGCCGCTGCAGGTTTGGTCGCCGGTCCGACTCATTGCTCGGGATGCGTCAAACGTCGAATCGAGGAACGACCTGTCACCATATGTCATGTGGAATCCAAACCAGGTACATCCAGGTACGTTGACATGCAATAATATTCAGTAGTCAGTAGTCGGTAGTCACCCGGTAGTCCATTTTGTGAGTCAACCAGTGTCGTGGCCTTTTAAACCAACAACTCTCCACATGCTCAGTTCGCTCTTCATTGCTTCGCCCGGCCCACCCCCACTGGCCAAATAAACCGTCATTAAAACATCTTAAAGCATCGTTTCCTGGACTTTGGGGCACCTTCCTTCCCCACAAGTCACTCTCCCAACCCATCACCGAAAAACCCCCTCCGCACCACCTCTATCCGCACCACATCCGCGGCTCCGTGAGCCCTGCCCACTCGATGGTATTCCGCGCGATGGCCGCATGGTAGGGATCCACCTCCATGGAGATCACGCGACCCCCCCAGTGGCGCATCTGCGAGGCCATCCGCGTGGAGGAGTAGCCCACGTAGAGCCCGACCTCCACCTGACGAGCGAGCGAAAGACCAGTCCAAGTAACCGACGGTTGGACGGTGGGACAACCAGCTCCCAGTCCCCAGACGGTTCGGGTTCTATGTTTCGAGGTTGTAGGTGAATCGAAGTTTCCACCTATTGCCATCTGAGTGGGAGAGACCCATTTCTAAAAAAACAAAGGCTGGGCCAACCATCCACGTAATTACTTACCAAAAGGTCGGATCGTCTCCCTCCAGCTGGAACTCAGAACTCCCTCACTAATTCATGCACATGTTCGATCGGGTCCCCAGCCAGGGACCACGAGGAGGGGTAGAACTGGCCTCGCCCGGCGTCGCCCGGTAGGTCCATTTAAACAGGAGAGACCCTTAATCAATGGCTAGGCCAGACTGGTCTATTTGTGCTTGCAGTTCGATTGATTCTCCATTTAATTAAAATAATGAGAAAGAACTTGACTCACGTTGGACACTACATGATACCGGAAGTCTGTGTGGTTTTCCTGACACTAGATGACATTAGCTGTCCAGGAACAAGGAAAAGAAGTCACACATTTGCAGGAAGGCAATTCACCCATAAGGGAAAAGCAATTTTTTCACCCGATCCGCAACATTCATCCATTTGGAGGCCATCGCTCTTAGGTTGGAGGCCATCGCTAGTAGACCCAATGCCTTCCGCACCAGTTGGCAAAAAACGACTGACGCCATCAGCTTGGCCAAGATGCCACCAGTTTGGCCTTGCCCTGCAGGGCCAGGACCTTGTCCAAGACAGCACCTTATTGCTTGGTCGACCCACACCGCGAAAGGCACAACATTCCAAAATATTCTCTCTCTCTCTCTATATATATATTGTTATACACTGACTACAAAAAACTTGTATACTGCATAACACATCCCTGTATAACATATCCAGTACACCCCAGAATCATGAAGAGCACGATGGGGAATCTTCACTCATCATCGCACGATCGGTGTTTTCGATGTTCTTCCTGAACCTCTTGCTTCTCGCTAAGCATTGCTATAAGCCAAACCCACATCTATGCCTATCTCATCCGTGTTTCAGCCCAGAGGTTTTAACATCTCATCGAGTTGGCCCGTGGGTGGCGCCTTTCTCATCTCCGGCCAACTTCAACCAAAGCTCCTGTGCCGGAGGTGTTCCCGGGCCTGTTTGGGCCATAAATGGGGGCCATGGAGCAACACGTCCGATTGATGGCCTTTCCAAGAAT